ACTGACCCACTTAGTGACAAGGGCCTCCAATGTTCTGCGGTGATAAATTGTTTGAAGCTGCAATTTATTTTGCCTCAAATTGATTATTGCGTTTTTCAATTCGATGCGCGGGACTTGTGAAATTGGTGTTAAAATGTTTATGTTTGTAAAATTTAAACCATCTGCTTCTGTGTAAGTTGAGGTGCGCTCGTTATTTATTTTGTAATTTGGTTTTGTTTCAAACTGATTTTTGACGTAGTCTGAATATAATTTTAAAGCCGCTCTCAGTGCCCATCTGATGCACTGCTGGTCGTTGTTTTGGACGTTGATAATTGCTTTTTTGTGCCCCAATTGCGCAGGTAGCGGAATGTAACTCGCACCCACCGGGTTATATTTAACCACGTTGATGTAAAAAGCGTCAACTTTATCAAAGATCCATCCTGATCCGCGTTGTGTATGAGCCTCCACGTCCTCCATCTGTTTCTGCCTTTGTTCAGCGAGTGCCTTTTTACATCGGCTTTATTTACAACTAATTTATTTTCGCTAGGAAAGGTAAATACACTAAAGTCAGTTTGGTCGGGTTTTTCCAATCTAAACTGCACTTTTAGAGCCGTTTGCCATATATAAGAACCGATCTCCTTCAACTCGTCTAACGCTTTCTTCTCGATGAAGGTCTTGTAAAATTCAAAAAAGTGCACGAGGTCGTTTACAAAGAACTGGGTATCAACCGCCAATTGCGGTAGTTACCCTGAAAGTGCCTCGCGTTTCTGATGTCGACTTCTGCAATTTCCTTGGGTTGAGAGTAAGCTTTAATCGCTTTGATGAGATCTTGTTTGAGGACTCTGCCCTTGTGTGTAAATGTGATATCGTTGTCTTGGACCGTTTTCAACAGCTGACGGTATGACTGACGCGGGAGGTACCTGAATTGTCTTTGGTTCGTTCGGATGGCTTCAATGAGCTCAGGTTTGGTGTGAAATTTACGCTTGGGTGCCGGTAATGGGATGTTATACTGTTTAACAAAATCTTCTAAAAATGCCTTCTTAAATCGATTAAAGGTCAATAATAGAGGCCTACATTGTAGGTTGTTCATGTCTCTATTTATATATAGGTTTTTAAAATTTTTCTCATTTTTTATACCGACTTGACTTGACATGTTTTTTATATATTGTTATTTTTATTTAAAAGTTCGTTTATTTAAGGCGGTTGTAAACTGTGAGAAGTCACGAGTTCAGGCCGGGGGGCGAGGGAAATCCCCTCTTTTCTTTGTTTGAGAGCCACGGGGTCAAAGGTTTAGGTTGTTTGTGCGAGAGTCTATGCAGGCCGGCGCACGTCGCGAGTTGTTGACAAAAAATGCGCCGGGGCCAAAGGTCAAGGTGAGTGAAGTGGGAAACCCCGGCGCGGGTGGTGGAAAGAGGGTGAAAGGGGGGGGTGCGCTTGAACCGGTATATCCCTACTAATGGCGAAGGAGTACCCCTTTGTCCAATCCCTATACACACTCTAGACTATTGTTACCTTACACATCCTCCAAGATGTCTGCAAAGAATTCCTGAGATTCCGATAAAACAATGACCAACACAGAGGCAGGGGTGGATTCTCTCCACCCCACACCTTGCGTCATTATGTTGCAGCAAAGTGCCGTTAAAGTTTCCAATTGAAAGACATTCACATCAAGTTAAGCAGTATTGGGAAATACCAATGTGTATTGCAGATAAATAGGAAATGTCCCAGACCAAACCCCGTGTCCAAGCTTATGTGATAGAAAATTCTTCAGATGGGACTTTGCGGAAACATCCCAAATCCAACCTGTTGAATCATGTTGAGTTCTTGATGATACCAGCTCCGTCTAAGTCGTACCACGTGAGTTGTTTGTGGACTGAGACTGCTTCAAACTCAAACCAAATATTCTCCCAAGTCAATCTGACGACTTGCACACAATATTTCACAGCAGATAGTTTCCCTTGTAAATCTCGAACGGACAAGATACACTTTGTGACGGAAAGGTACCCTTCCATGAGCATTGCGAATGTAGGGAGACACAGAAGAGTAGATTTGAGTGGTGTTCAGGCAGCCAAATTTACAGTTGCAAGAAGAGTGTCCATCACCAGTGTAAGAAATGTTTCATAATACGGCCCAAACAGTAATAAGGAACATCTGGTAAACTTTTTCTTCACTTGCTGGTCTGAGGCCTACAATTCTGGGGGGTGTCACAGTATTTGTTGCGCATGGACAGAGTTGTGCCATGCAGTTAAAGTACAAAATGACAACCAAACTTCAAGCAGTCCCCAAGCCCTGCCTGCAGTCACGAAAAAGCTGATATGCGAATGTTCCTCTATTTTTCTTATGCAGGGGTATTTACTGATCACATTAAAAGTCCTGATATCTGTCTGATTGATATTTCACTGTGCGGCAGAAGCTCTCTACTTCCGTATAGGCCAGAACGAAAAGGAGACTATTAATGTGAATAAAGTGAGAGATGTGCTTGGTGATAAGGTCAATGATACCTTGATTGACATTCATTGTTTTAGTGGATGTGACTTGGTCATTGCTTTCCATGGTTGGATAAATGGATAAAGCAAATTAGATCCATTTGTAAGGCCGGGGAAGTTGTTCTCCCTTTCCTGTGACTTGCAGTATTTGCTTGAAGACTTTTTATTCACCCTGTAAGACCAAGAAGCCACTGTCATTTGCAACAAGTCACGGTATACTTTGTTCCGCCTCTGGAAACCCAATTTCAAAAGGGCTAATTGCCAAAAATACCTCTTCAAGAAAAGACTACAAGAATATCATAAAGCGTATCATTTTCATCTTCCTGTTGTCAAAAACCAAATAATTATAGCGCAATATTTCATTTGCCAACACTGTCATTGAATGAACTACCCGAATGGTTGTCCGATATTATACTTTGCGTTACTGTATTCACATCGGTGAATACAGATGTCGACTACGAATGACGCTTTTTTGCAGGTTTTTATGACAAAAGTCCTATATTTGCAATAAAATTTAGCCCGGCAGGAAATTGCCAGAAAAATGAACCTAGTCCCCAACTCGCCACTCTACCCCAAAAAAGTGCCAAGATGGACCCTGATAAATAAGTGTTTAACAGGCTAACACTGATGGGAATATACTGCTGTCGTAAAAAGGTCACTATACATATATTGTAAATGTGTGAGTCAATGTGAACGTGACAACTTGTAAGCCCGCATACACCATATGGCTACACGTGTACATAAAAGCCACACACGCATGCATACACAAACCTTACATATCTATGCGTGTGGGGTATTTCCTTTGTTTCCTTTGTGTACAAAACGCCCACAAATCAGGAATTTCAAATCACTGCCATTTCAACCAAATTCAGTTTCCTTGGTTGAAATTTCGACCGTATGTCCGTTATATAAAACACTTCCATTTGCGACGGATGAATGGCACTTGAAAATTCCTCCTTTTTGAGTAAATGTGAAATATCTATTTCTTTATCAATATCTATATATTTGTGGGGTACCACATTAGTACCCCTTGGTAACGCGCCATTTGTGGGCAACAATGGCCTTTGAGCCTGCTCTTGCCCACGAATGGCACGTACCTCAGGCATTCTTCTCTATCTCTTGTGTCCAAGGTTTTGGGAGCAAAAAGTCTAGTAGAGAACCACAACTGCAAAATGTGTCGTATCTCGAGACAACTTTGAAAGGGGTACCCGATGGTAAGTGCATTTTCATCATCATTTATTTTCAAACGTTTTGTAAAATTGTTTCAATATAATAAGCTATATTTATAAAATACTATATTACAATGATTTAGTGTTTTTATGTAGAGTCTCAGCCTTAAATCTGTCTGGAGGTTTGATTTTGGGGACTTTTGGCCTTAGCCTAAAAATGTAGTTCAACAATGGAGATTTTTTTTTCTGCAATGCGTTTTATGTTGTGGAGAATAGCCATCTGTATCACACAACCAAGGTCATGCTTTTACTGTGTATAAAATTGAATGTGAAAAAAAGTTTTGTAGATCCGAAGGACACTAAGAAAACCAACAGTCATTGGTTTTGCATTTGGCACTTTTTAAAA